ATTCGTAACCACTACGCTACCTACACCCATACCTGTCCTGGAACCGGAACCCTACCTACCCTGGCCCTCGGGAGCCATCTGGGGCTTTGCATGCTGGGTGTGTGCTGTGCAGAGCTCCAAAACTACATCTGAAACACTCTTCCGGGTTTTGCCAACCTCTGAGGGCAGCAAACAGGGGTACTCTGCCCACTTCTTCCTCCTGGCACTCGTGGGCTCCTCTGACCTCTGTGTTGGGGGTCTGTGAGATCTCTGGCTGTCTCTCGGCCCCCGTCTCTCAGACACCAAGCAAGGGAGCCGTCAGACAAAGACACACACCTCTTACCCTTGAAGTCCTTTCACACTGCTGGTCACCTTCCCACAAACAGTCTCCATCTTTACTTAGAAGTACACACCCACTGTCACAAAGAGCAGCACCATGCTCGCTGTGAGTCTATTTCCCAGACTCCCTTGCAACTAAGTGTAGCCCTGAAACTAACTTCTGGTCAATAACATGTAAGTGGAATTATTTGTGAAACTCTAGGGAAGCTGATTAAAGGGAAATGGCTCAAGAGGGAAATAAGCCCCCTTTACATTCTTCTTTTGAACTGACTCCATGACACTTAACAACAACACATTCTTCTTTTATGCTGCCTGGATAGGTCATTGGTTCAAACCCACTAGCCACGCCATGGGAGAAGATGTAGCAGCCTTGGAAACCCTATGGGGCAGTTCCGTTCTGTCCCATATGATTGCGCTGAGTCGGAATTAACTTGATAGCATTGGATTTATTGAGCATATATAAAAAATGAAAAGGAGCTCTGGTAGCGTAGTGGTTACGAATCGGACTGCGAACAGCAAGGTCAGCAGTTCGAAACTACCAGCTGTTCCGCAGGAAAAAGATGAGGCTTTCTGCTCCCGTAAACAGGGTCACTATGAGTCAGAACCAACTCCACGGTACTTAACAACAACAACAACATATAAAAAATGATTATATCTCAATAATAAAAAGACAAATAGCTGACAAATGGACACAGGTTGAGCATTTGCTTTTTTAACGAACTATTTATCTGTGATCAAACTATCTGTGATCAATCTAACAACAGCAACTTCAAAGGTTAGGTAGGCTCCTTATGGGGCAGTGGGTTTATGTTAATGGTGGAAAACAATTCAGCAAAGGAGGATGAGAAGGGATGCATAATTCCAAGAATATACTCCATGTCACTGAATTAATGGTACGTGCAAGAACTACTGAATTGGTGTCTCATGCACATTGATGAATTGTATATTCTGCTATGTATATTCTCAACTACAAAAAGTAAAGTAAGTTGTTGTTTTTAATGAGCAAAAGATTTGCATACACATTTATCCAATATTCAATGGCCAATCCCAAATTCACTGACATCAAGTCAATTCCAACTCATAGTGCCCCATAGTACAAAGTAGAACTGTTCTTTAGGGCTTTGGGACTGTAAATCTTTACAGGTGTAGACAGCCTCATCTTCCTCCTGTGGAGCTGCTTGGTGGTTTTGAACCACTGACCTTGAGGTTAGCAGTTGATGCTTACCTACATTGTCACCAGGACCAATAAGCATATAAAATAATGTGCAACATAATTAGTCATTAAGAATATGGCAATTAGAACCATAATAAAATGCCACTTCATTCCCACAGAATATCTAAAAAAGAGAGATAGTAGCAAGTGTTGGTGAGGATGTGGGCACATTGGAACCCCCATACATTCAAAAATGTTGCAGCCACTTAAGAAACAGTTTAGTGGACCTTAAAGTATTCAGATGACCCAGCAATTCTACTCTTAGGTATATACTCAAAGGAACTGAAAACAAGTTATCAAATGAGTTGTTAAATACACGCACAAAAATATTCACAGCAACACTACTTACAATAGTGAAATAGTCCAAATGTCCATCAGCAGATGAGAGGATAAACAAATTATAGACTATTATTCAGTCATGAAAAGATAACAAGTAATGATACATCTATCTACATGTAGACGAACTTCCAAAATACACTGAGCGAAATAAGCTAGGCACAAAAGGCCCTATGTTGTTAAGCGTCACGGAGTTGGTTCCGATTCATACCGACCCTATGTATGACAGAAGGAAATGCTGCCCACTTCTGCGCCATCTGCACAGTTGTTGCTATGTTTGAGCTCATGGTTGCTGCCACTGTAACAATCCATCTGGTTGGGTCTTTCTCTTTTTCACTGACCCTCTACTTTATCAAACATGATGTCCTTCTCCAGGGATTTGTCTTTCCTGACAACATGTCTAAAGTAGGAGAGATGAAGTTTTGCCATCGTACTTCTTCAAGGCCACACAGAGGCAGAAAATAGAGTAGTGGTTGCCAGGTGCTAGAGGGATGGGGAAATGGGGAGTGACTGCTTATGAGTTACCCCAAAAAAGCAAACCTGTTGCTGCCAAATCCATTCTGACTCATAGTGGTTCCATAAGACACAGAACTGCCCTGTAGGGTAGGGTTGCCAAGGCTGAGTCCTGCTGTGGCGTTGTGGGTTAATGCGCCAGACTGCAAAATTGTCTGCACTACAAGGTCGGCAGTTCAAGCTCACCAGCTGCTCCTCGGAAACCCTATACAGGGTTGCTATGGGTCAGAATCGACTCAATGGCACTTAACAACAACAACCTTTACAGAAGCAGATTGCCACCTCTTTTGCCTGTGGAGCAGCTGGTGGGTTCAAACGGCCAATCTTTAGGTTAAATAGCCAAGCACATTAACCACTGTGCCACCAGGGGTTCTCCCACAAAGATGATTGCCTTGAAAACCATATGGGGCTATTCCACTCTGTCCTCCAGGGTTGCTGTGTATTGGAATTCACTCCCTACAATGAATGATGCAGGAATGATCTTTTTTCTATGTCTTAGGGTTGTTACAAAAATCACATAAAGCAAAGATTTGAGCAATGTGTTTCATGTTGTCTGTGTCTGGGCTCAGAATGTGGCACTAGGTTCTTGTCATGTGTCCCCAGTCCCACTGAACTGACAGTAAATGGAGAGGACTTGCTTGAGCAGCTCAATCTGTGTGTGATTGCACAAATCCTGTTGTGTGGGGCAATTGTAGAAATCAGGAAGGCCTCTCTGCCTTGTGTGTAAAGGGGAATTTTACCTTCTAGCAAAATCCAAGCTTTCTAACTCATTCTGTCTCTTCCCAATCACATAAATACCAACTCTGGGTGGCACAAACAGTTAAGTGCTTTGCTACTAACCGACATGTTGGAGGTTGGAGTCCACTCAGAGGTACCTCGGCAGAAAGACCTGGAGATCTACTTCGGAAAAACCTATGGAGTGGGATTCTACTTTGATGCACATGGGTTCACCGTGAGTCGGGTGAACTTGAAGGCAACTTTTTTTTCTGTTTACAGGTACTCAGCAAAAATACTGCAGAAAACTTTGGAATATTCATGGTCTCACCAGCCATTTCTCATCTATTAACAACAGAGCAGGAGTCCTTTCCTGGCGCATACCTAAGTCCAGCGGATCTCTGTATCACCAGATAGTTGTCCACCGCGTAGCAAAACAGCCACCAGAAGCAGGCGCTGTACAGCAGCTGGATCCACATCTGCAACCAGGAAGAGTCTGGCATCAAAGCCTTTGCAAACAGGCACCAGATTCCCAGCCCATCCGTGAAACCAGCTCAGAGCCCGGCTTCCTGTGACGTCAGGAGGGCGGCACATGAAAGCACTGGGACGGGTGTGGATGGGTCTTTGAAACCTGAGGCTGGCAGCTAGCCTGGGATGTGCGTGTGCAGGCGTGTGTGTGTGTGTGTGTGTGTGTGTGTGTGTGTGTGTGTGCCCATTGTGTGTGCATGCTCCTCCCCCTCCACTCCGCTGATCTGGAAGAGGGATCCCCTTTCTCTTCTGCACTCGTGCATGTCGGATACACTGCTGGGAGGACTTTTTGAAGCCGCGGTTCTTTTTATCAGAACTAAGGAGTTCGTACAGGGAAGATCAAGTGGAGGGGCAGGAAGGAGCTCCGCGGGCTACAAGCAGCAACAAGATCAATACGCTGCTGCTATTGTGGGCTGAGGCAGATGTTTCCTGGGGATGCCATTAAAAAGCCGGAGGTGGGGGGAGGGAATGGGACAAAACGCTAACAATTCAGCCATGTGAGCGCTAACTCTCTGGTCAGAGCGCTGCGTTTCTTTCATTAAGGAACACATAGCTGATATAACAATAGCTTTCATATTTTGGTCCAGCTGTTTTTCACTGTTGTTGTTATTAAGTTCTGTCGAATCGGTTGCGACTCATAGCGACCCCATACAGAGTTTCCAAGGAGCAGCTGGTGGGTTTGAACCGCCAACCTTGTGGTTGACAGTCTAGTGCTGATCCTACAGCACCATACCAGGACTATCATTGTAGATACTTAGATAACAGTGTGCATGTGCTTGTGAGTGTGTGTGTGGGGGGGGAGAGGGGGATGTATGTCCTTGCTGTTAAGTGGAGTCAGTTCCAACCCATAGTGACCCTGTATAGTTTCGGAGGAGTGGTTGGTGAACTTGAACCACCGACCTTGCGATTCAATCTGACCTTGCTGTCTAACACATTAACCCACAAGGCCACACCAGGGCTCTGGGTGATATATGTTGTTGTTGTCAAGTGCCCTCGAGTAGATTCTGACCCATAGCGACCCTGTATAGGGTTTCCAAGGAGCAACTGGTGAGCTTGAACCGCCGACTGTGCAGTTTAAATGGCTTTGCAGTCTGACCCAGTAACCCACATCACCACAGGAGCCAAAAACAAAACAAAACCAGTTGCTGCCCAGTTGATCTGGAGTCATGGAACCCCAACCTGTGTCAAGCTGAATTTTTGGAAGTAAATTACCAGGTCTTTCTTCTGAGGTACCTTTTTGTGGACTCACCTCCAACTTTTCGGTTATCAGTCGATTTGCATTAATTGTGTGTACCATCCAGGGTCGACAACCTAGGAGCCCCAAACGCCAATACTGTCCATTAAGACTCATAGCTACCCTAAAGGACATAGTAGAACTTCCCCATTGGGTTTCCATAGGTGTCATCTTTACCAACGCACATTTTTCTCTGAGGAGTTGCTGCTGGGTTCAAACTGATAACCTTTCAGTTAGCAGCCAAGCATTTAACCACTTGCCACCAGTGGTTGATGAGCATGCATCAAATGCCCTGGTGGCCTAACTACTCCACAGTCTCTGGTCAGAGGTGTGAGGTGGGGCCTGAGAATTTGCCATAGGTTAAGTGTTGGGCTAATAACCGTAATGTTGGTAGTTCAAACCCAGCAGCCACTCCTCAGGAGAAAGATGTGCAGTCTGCTTCTGTAAAGATTTACATCCTGGGAAGCTGTCCGAGTCAGTTCTACTCTGTCTTACAGTGTTGCTATGAGTTGGAATGTGTTTTGTGGCGTTTCATAAGCTCCCAGGAGATAGATGTTGGTTCTGTCTTTAACTGGTGATGATGTAGCCGCTGCAAATCAGAAGACACAGGTTGACAAGAGCATAGGTAGGGAGGAGAAGGTGAGCAAGGAAGGCACATACCGCACTCCCCACGCAGAAAGCAGCAGGCCAAACATCTGTTCCATTCACTTCTGAGATGTTTTCAACAAAATCTGGGAATCCTATCCATACTGCAGACCGCACAACAATACCTAAGGGAGAATTAGAGGAGACTTTGTGCCTGACTCTAGTTCAACTCTGTTAGGGATTGACTTGTTAAATGTCAGTTCCGACTCACAGTGACCCTGTCTGTATAGGATTTCCAGGAGCAGTTTTGAATCACTGACCTTGCATTTAGCAGTCCACTGCTTATCCTACAGCACCACACCAGGACTCCATGGATAAATTTACTGTTGCTGTTGTTAAGTGTCTTTGAGCCAGTGCCAACTCATAGCAACCCTGTATAAGGTGTCCGAGGAGCGGCTGGTGAGTTCGAACCACCAACCTTGCAGTTTAAACCAACCTTGTGTTCCAGAGCTTATCTCTGTATAGGGTTTCTGAGGAGTGGATGGTGAGTTTGAACTGCCAAGTTTTTGGTTCAAACTGACCTTTCTCGGTCCAGTGTTTATCCTATAACATCACACCAGGACTCCATGGATTAATTTGAGCACCCACAAAATAGGTGCTGTCAATCCTAATCCCTATACCTGTGGTTGGATCCCTGGTGTGGCACTGTAGGGTAAGCACTAGACTGGTAACTAAAAGAATGGCAGTTCAAACACACCAAGCTGCTCCTGGGAAACCCTATACAGGGTTGTTATGAGTCAGAACCCACTCCACAGCACTTAACAACAAAATACCTAACCACAGGTAATCCTATTTGGAAATGGGGGTTCTTTGTTATGTTAATGAGGCCACACCAGTGTTGTTGAGTGCCCAGTGGGTTCCAACTCATAAGGATCCTGTATAGGGTTTCAGAGGAGTGACTGGTGGGTTTGAACTGCTGATCTTGTGGTTCAAACCAACCTTGCAGTCCAGCGCTTATCCTATAGCACCATATCAGTGCGTTATTGTTGTTATTAAGTGCCATAGTGCCAGTTCCAACTTTGCTGGACCCTGTATAGAGAGTTTCCTAGGAGCAGCTGGTGAGTTTGAACTGCCGACCTTCTGGTTCACAGTCCAGTACTGATTATACCAGCGTGTGTGTCTCAAAGCAATCTTTTCTGAGATCTCAAATGAGCAGATTGAACATGAAACCTGGCAAGCAAACAGAGATGGGGCAGATAGAAGGCAGTGAAGATCACCAAGAAGCCAAGGGGCAAAAGCTGAAATAGAGACGGGCCCCACAGCCCACAGAGAAAGAAAAAACCTTCTCTTAGAGATGGTGCCCTGATTTCAAACATCTAGCCTCCTCAACTGTGAGAAAATTCATTTCTGTCCCTTAAAGCCATGTGAAGGAGCCCTGGAGTCGCAGTGGTGAAGTTCTCAGCTGTTCCCCATTGTAGCTGAGTCAGTTCTGACTCATAGTGACCCCATATACGGTTCCCAAGGAGTGGCTGGTGGGCTTGAACTCCCAAACCTGTAGTCCCGTGCCTATCCTCAAGCGCCGCACCATGTAAGACAGTACTTTATAATTTTCAGCATGTAGCACTTCCTTGAGCCCAGTGAAAACCCTGTAAGTTCTAGTTAAGGGGCCATCCATGGTTACCAAATGTGTGTCAGAGTAGGACTATTTCATAGTGTTCGAGATTGCCAAGGAGCTTCAGGATGGGTTCAAACCACTAGCCTTTTGGTTCGCAGCAAGCACTTAACCTTTGCACCACCTCCAGACTCTTATGAGGTACTTTACTATTTCTCAGTGAGTCACAACAATGCAGGACGTGCGCCTTTGTCCAGGCACCCAGTGGGCCGCGCTTATCCCAGCACCCAGTGAGGCCCACCCCGCGGGCTACGCGCCCTTACCCGGGCATCTAGCGGGTCCCACGCACTCTTACCCAGGCAGCCGAGTAGGTCGCAGGCAGTGGCAGCACGCAGGATGCGGGTAGACACGGGCAGGGCCGAGGCGTGGCCGGGTGCGGAGGCCGCTGGGCGCGCGGGACGGTGTTGCAGAAGGCCGAGCCCCAGGCGGAGCGCGCCTATGCCCAGGCAGATCGCGTGGAAGAGCCGCGGCTGGAAGCTCATCACGAGCTGCGTGGCAGCGTCCCGCGTAGGACAGCAGAAGGTAGCCAGGCGCGGGGAGGCCATGGGCTTCAGGGGAACGCGGCTCTGGGGCTCGGATCTGCCGGGAGCACTCCAGGCGGCCTCGGTCATGTGGCCGTCTATCAGCAGGCATCATGTGCCCTTCGGTCGTCTCCAGAAAGGGCGCCAGGGCCGGAGGGGGAATGCTGCTCCGTCCTGAGCGGTGGAGGAGGTGGGGGTTCATGGGAGAATGGCAGGGTAGAGCAGGCCAGCTTGCATTTGTGGATTTATTCTTGAAGCTCTTTGGGGTTCAGATTAGCCATCTCTTCTTAACTGCTCTTACTACAGAACTTGAGGGAGACACCAGATCTTTGCTATGTGGAAACTTGTTGCTGTTAGGTGTCTCCAGTTGATTCCGACTCATAGCAACCCTATAAAGAGTTTCCAAAGAATGACTGGCGGCTTTGAACCCCTGACCTTGTGGTTAGCAGTCCAGTACTGAGCATATAGTACCACACCACACTGTCTATGTGGGAGCAGACACAATTTGTGAACTGTGTTCTGATGCCTGAAAGGGATGAAATTAGGAATGAAGTCCTTGTGTGGTGCTGTAGGATAGGCACTGAGCAGCAAGGTTGATTTTTAACGGCAAGGTCGGCAGTTCAAACATAGCAGTCACTCCTTCTCGGAAACCTTATACAGGGTTGCTGTGAGTAGGCACCAACTTGACAGCACTCAACAACTCCCACATAGGAATCCTGGTGTGGCCCTGTAGGATCACAAAGTCAGTTTGAACCGCAAGGCCGACAGTTCAAACTCACCAGCCACTCCTCAGAAATCCTATTCAGGGTCACTATGAGTCAGAGCTGATTCAAAGACACATAACAACTCCCACATAGGAAGTCTTTGTGTAGTGTTGTAGGATAAGCACTGGACTGCTAACCACAAGGTTGGTGGTTCAAAGCCACCAGTCGTCCCTCAGAAACCATATACAGGGTAGCTATGAGTCAAGGGTAGCTATGGCACTGAACAACAACACACTGCCCCGGCCTCCCCCCCTGTGCTCCACCTTATACACTACAACCCCCCCCCCCCCCCCGGAAACAATGGCACTGTGGTAGGACAAAATTTGTATGTGTCATGACTGTCCGATCTGCAGGAGATGATATCATGGTGATGGCCAAGGCCTGGCAGCATTTCCTTCCATTGCGTGTGAGGTTTCCGTTAATCAAGCCTACTAGGTCACAGCTCACAACGGGATTTTCTTTTTAAAGTAATGAATAAGCCATTCAAATAAATCTTCAAGAAAGGGAACACCACTTGTATAACTACACACACACAACTTGCCTTCTGTTTCATTCTTACTGAGCTGCAACAAGATGGGCTTAAGTTTGTGAACATTCTAAATTAGCTCTCAAGAGTAATGTTATCCATAAAAAGTGTTCACGTTTATTCAAGTGTTTTTAACTGCTTTAATCTTGCTGTATATTTTCTGGCACATTGAAAACCCTTTGACTCTACAAAATACAGAAAAGTTTACAAATTATATTGGTACTAATGATAATGAATGGAGTCCTGGTGTAGTGCTGTAGGGTAAACACTGGACTGCGAACAAAACCCACTAGCCACTCCTTGGAAACAAGAAGCAGCGGGGGTGGGGAGTGGGGGTGGAGAAGAGGAAACAGAGGAAGATGAAAGCAAACGCTATCATGTGAGTATTTATCCTGCTCAGTAAAGGTGCTGTTAGTTGCCCGGAATCAATTCCGATTCAGCTACCCCATGTGTGCCAGACAGAACTGTACTCTGTGGGCTTTTCAAGACTGTGACCTTTCCAAAGCAGATTGCCAGCCGTTTCTTTGGAGCCACTTGGGTGGGTTTGAAACACCTCCTTCTGGGGCCCCTCCTCCAGTGAAACATCTCTGTAGGCTTTTACAGTCCCACTGTTTGCATTGGCTGTTTTCTTCCTAAACCCTTAAATTCAAATGCTCCAATGCAAGAGCATCTAGATTTTCGCCCACTGGCTTTGCAATTGTAAGCTGGGTCAAGTTTGGACTCAGCTACTGTTCTTTCTTGCTCCTGGGACTACAGGGCTGGGCTTCCTGTTGGGGCCCCCATGGAAGGCAGAGAAGAAGCACAGTCTTTGAGCTTGGGCAGCAAACGCTACAGATTCCAAACAATGCAGGTCTGGTCAGCCTATAAACACAGCCTGTTCACACAGCTGCTGCCTTGAGAGAAACCAGCATTTGAAAAACTCGAAACAGCTCTCTGTGTTAAGAACAATAGAAAAAAATAAATGTCAATTTCTTGGCCCTTTTGAAAGCCTGGACCGGGTTAAGTGCTGCCTGCTAAACAAAAGGAACTCTGGTAGCGTAGCGTAGTGGTTACAAATCAGGCTGCTAACCTCAAGTTCGGAAGTTCGAAACTACCAGCTGTTCTGTGGGAGAAAGATGAGGCTTTCTGCTCCGGTAAAGATTTGCAGCCTCCGAAACCCTGTGCAGGGTCATTATGAGATGGAACCAATTCCACGGTACTTAACAACAACAAGCTAACCAAAAGGTTAATGGTTTGAAGCCATCCTGAGGATCCTTGGAAAAAAGGCTTGGCGATGTGCTTCAGAAACTTGAACACTAGGAAACATTTACTTTTCACCCTTAAAGCCTTCTATCTCCTAACCTCAAGTAAGCTGAGCTTGCCTGGAGGCAAGTATATCAAATGTGCTTTCAAAGTGAGAATCCACTCGAGGGCACTTAACAACAACAACTTCAAAATGAGAAAGGAGTGTCTGTACATTTGCCCTATAGGAGTCCCCTCCCCGCGTGGTATAAACTGCTAACCTAAAGGTTGAGGGTTGAAACCTACCCATGTTGTTAAGTGCCATCGAGTCGATTCCAACCCATAGCGACCCTGTATAGGGTTTCCAAGGAGCAACTGGTAAGCTTGAACAACTGACCATGCGGTTCAAACGACTTTGCAGTCTGAAGCATTAGCCCACAGTACCACACCAGGACTCCCACCCTACCCATGTTGTTGTTGTTGTTGTCAAGTGCCATCGAGTCGGAACCGACTCATAGCGACCCCATGCACAGCAGAACGAAACAATGCTCGATCCTGGGCCACCCCCGAGTCCATCAATGATGCCACCTGGCCGATCCATCTCGTTGGAGGTCTTCCTCTTTTTCTCTGACCCTCCACCCTACCCAGCATGACATCTTTCTCCAACGATTGTTTCCTCCGGACTACATGTCCAAAGTAGGAGAGACGAAGCTTAGCCATCCTGGCCTCCAAGGAGCACTCTGGCTGCACTTCTTCCAAAACAGATTTATTGGTTCTTTTGGCAGTCCATGGCACCCTCAGTATTCTCCTCCAACACCACAACTCAAAGGCATCAATTCTTCTACGATCCTCTTTATTCACTGTCCAGCTTTCGCATCCATATGAGGCTATTGAAAACACAATGGCCTGGGTCAGGCGCACCCTAGTCCTCAAGCTGACATCTCTGCTCTTCAACGCTTTAAAAAGTTCCTGTGCAGCAGATTTGCCCAGTGCAATACGTCGCCTGATCTCTTGACTGCTACTTCCATGAGTGTTGATAGTTGATCCAAGAAGAATGAAGTCCCTGACAACTTCAATCCTTTCTCCATTGATAAGAATGTTGTTTATTGGTCCAGTGGTGAGGATTTTTGTTTTCTTGACATTGAGATGTAATCCATATTGAAGGCTGTGCTCTTTGATCTTCATAAGTAAATGTTTCAAGTCCTCTTCACTTTCAGCGATCAAGGTTGTATCATCTGCATATCGCAGGTAGCCTGGGAATATACTTCTGAAAAATCAGCAGGTGAAAACCCTATAGGGCACAGTTCTACTTTGACACACACGGGGTCGCTATAAGTCAAAGTTAACTTGACACCTCATTTGGCTTCATTTCTTGGGTACATTTGCACGAATGCCCAGGCTAACGCAGGTCCAGTCCATGTAAAAGTCTCATTACATTCCAACCCCACCCCACCTGTACTTGACAGGAGCAAACCTGCAGCACGGAGAGGGGGATGTATGTTTCAGCTGACCCCAGATGCTGAAGGGTGGATTGAAGCTTGCTAGGGGCTTGGTCATTAGAACTACCTTAGGGAGGGAACTGTTACTAATGCAGATTCCAGGGCCCACGCTGCAGTGAGGATGTTTCACTAGGTCAGGAACTGAAGCAGGAATCAGAGATGAATTCTTCAACCCTGTCATCAAAGTAAGCAATTAAGATTACTTTGAGAAATACAGCCAGGATGGCGGACACTTGTTCTCAAAATGTTGTTGTTGTTGTTATGTGCCATGGAGTCGGTTCCAACTCACAGCGACCCTGTACAGGGTTTCCAAGGCTGTAAATCTTTACGGGAGCAGAAAGCCTCATCTTTCTCCCACGGAACAGCTGGTAGTTTCGAACTGCTGAACTTGTGGTTCGCAGCCCGATTCGTAACCACTATGCTACCAGAACAAGTACAAGTGCAAGGAAATGGTCAATGAGGGTATGAAGGTACACACACACACACACACACACACACACATATTGGAGACACAATCATCTGGAAGTACTGTAGGGTGCTAGGAACACAAAGGTGGCACTGCTGGGTGTGAACGTGGAGGCATTCATACAGACATGAGGACTTTTGAGCACACAGAGTTCATTTTTGTATTCACCTTTGTTCCTTGCTCCACTCCCTCTGTATTTAGCACCTGGACAAACCAGTTACCTTTGAGTCATTTCCGATTCATGATGTGTCAGGGAAGAACTATATTGCATAGGATTTTTTTTTTTTTTAATTTTGTATAAAATTTTGTTGTTGAGCTTATTCTCAAATGTACAACAATTCAACCACTTCTCCATATACAATTCAGTGGCTGTGATCATATTCTTCAAGTTATACAACCATTGTTGCCCACCTTTTCTGAGTTGATTCTCCTCTATTCACACAAGTTCACCTGCATATTTTTCTCATGGGCTGATTTTTGGCAGTTGATGGCCAGGCATTTCTCTCAAGATGACTCTTGATGTACTCGAACAGCCAACCTCTAACGATCGAGCAGGTTCACTGTTCACATTCCCCAGGGACTGTGGCTTGACTTCCAGAGCCCTTATTCCAATG